ATGAAAGGATCTATCGTCCTTTCATCGTAAATAGCGCTGATGATTTTATTCTGCATTTAGAGCTACAAAATGAGATGCACTGACGCCATTACCATTAGGCCCGCTTTTTCTAAACATGATAGGATTCCAGGTAACAGGGGTGCTGGTCGATACTGACGTTATGAGTCTCTACGTAAGCAGACCATCTCAAGTGACAATCATCCACGTCTCAAATTCTTATTCAGTAGAAAAAATAGCCTTCTTACATAAATAATCGACGCTAGTATTGGAAATTGTATGCAGCAATACAGTGTTCTCAGTACTCTAAGGGCTATAGATAGTTTATTTGGAAATCGCAACAACACATATCTCAGTTTCATCACTAAGTAATATCATCCCATTTTTACTGCTGAGAAAGTCAATAAACAGCATTTAAAATTCAAGGTGCGAACGATACTATAACCCATTAAGAAAACTCAATCGTGTATCGGTTCCCGATTCGTATCAATGCACCATGGGTAGGACCCACCGAACAGAAAAGTAGACCTTGTGACACTATTACAGTAACATTTTCATATATAAACATAAAATCACAAATATAAAGGTTCAATAGACCGTTAGATAATACACATTTGAATTTTCAGTTTCTTTTTGCGGTAAATATCCATAAGGGTTGCATTTTACAAATATATCTAAGATACAAAAAACCCCACCAAACAATGTATACGGTGAAACAGCAGAAAAAAAATATGAAAAAAAACTTCACCTATTCTTCATTACTGTAATCATTATTTGACAAAAACAAGACTGATATGAAAGTCTTCCAAAAAAAGCGATCGGCGACGAAACAAATGTAACACGCTTAACTCATTACTGAGAGTGCAATTAATTGAGCAGTTTTGAAAAATAATGAGTTACATAATGTATTATGAAGGACCTACGTAAAGAACAAGGTAAGTATAAATGACAATAATTAGGTAAACAATCTTCGTAAAGTAAATAATCGACGGGCATCACGCATCTTTAAGAGACTTTTCCTCTCCCGACGGCAAAAACAATAAACTGCTCTGCAAACTGTAGTTATCAAAAGAACTATACCGACTACTCCCACCACCATCAGTACTTTTAGCACTATTTAGTTGACTACTTGTACTACTGGTTGATGCACAAGATCCAACAGAGCAAGTATCTGAAACAGCTGAACTATGAACACTACTGTTGAATGTAGCCCCTGCCGTACTACCAGTTGTACTATCACAACTTAATCCCATTGGTGTAAGTAATGTAGTCCCTGTACTACCCGCTATTGATGAGGGACTTGAACGACGGTTTCGTTTACTTTGTGGAGCACCAGATCCGATAGGTGGAATTAATATACGCTCGGATGATGTATCAGCACTTGCATCTGATAATTTCATAGCTTTAGGGGATAATTCAACATCTTGTTGTTCCTCCTGTTGTTGCGGTTCAACCGTATGACCAGAGGAAGGGATAGAATCCAGTTTTTGAGCTTCACAATTGTGATTATTAACTATAGGAGAATTATTTGTACCATTTGAGTGCTGACTGGTGTTGTGCATTAGAACATCTACGTCAAGACTTAATTTGCCTGGGGGAACAGTTGGACATGCCAGTATGAGAGTATGCTGACCACCAGCGTCAACCATCAAAATACGACTAGGTAAAAAACAAAATAAAATAAACTATCGTTAGATAAAAGTTCCCGAAATGACCGGGAATATTTGCCCATAAACAAAACTTCAGTCAAGTAAATGTGATCTTGATTAAACAACAGTCAAGTTATCCGTATGCATCGAATAAAAAAACCAATGCAAAAAAAAAGAAATGAATATTTCCCTGGTTGTAACTGCTGATAAGATAAACTGCGACGTACTAGAAGCCTTAGTCATCCACTTCCCAGCTTCGATTTCCAGACAAACTCTTTCTGCATATTACTAACCCTTTTTGATAGTTTTTGTGTGGCTAAAAGTACATTTCCTAGGCTTTTTCAGCCTATGGTTTACATTTCTTTCCTTTTTATTTTCCTTCGGAATCCTTACGCTGGCTGAACGAGCCATCACTGCCGAACTTACGCATACTGTTTCTGCTCAAACCCATGCGCAAAGTGCCCGCAGGCTAGACGAGAAAATATGAACTAAGTATCACATAATAATCAAAGGAAAACAAAAATTAGAGGATAGCCTAAGTACACTAAAATTGTGCGCCAAATACAAATTACATTTCGAGAAAGTTCTGCTACCACTCCTAATACCCGAATTCCACTAATTTGAAACTTTTATACGTCCTTATTCTGCGAATTAGGACAGAAGCGAAATTAGACAGCTTTTTCGAACTTAAATAACGTACATGAGGTAGCTACCCTAATTCCAGTACTTTTGAGCTACCATCATCAGCAAGATTAAAAATTAAATTCACTCGGTATTTAGATTTTTCAGCAAGATGTGATGTCATTTCGCTTAATTGTAACAGATCAAAAGATTAGTTCCATGAACCATTGTAAAATATTGCAAACACGATTCGATCAACGGTTGTTCACACAATTTTGTCGCACAGCGTCATTCCATTAAAAGATGAATTACAGTTCATCATTTTTATTATCAAAATGACTAAGACAAAAAAAAGGAGTTACGACAAACGTGACACCTTACCCGACTTTTGCTTCTAGGCAACGGAGTATACTGCAGTGAAACTAAGCAACTATAAAAGTAACTGAAACAATGGATTGGCATAAAACATAACCAACTCAATCGATGTAGAAAGTGCTTATGAGTAATAGGTTGTGAACCACATAATGTGATAGTCAACAACACTACAAGATTGAACAAATTTACAACACAATGAATAATTTACTGAACACGACCATACATGAATAGGTTACATACAGTGAATAAGTAGTTCATCGTACACACGGTGAAATTAGGTATCACTACTCACTTCACACAATAAACAAGAAACAGTATCAGTGTAACTTATTTTCACATGAATCTGCCTGGATAATGTGCGTCCCAAAAGGATATATACGCATATTTATCATTACCAAAATACTAAGTGGTTACAATTTAACACAACAGATAAACAAAGACCGAATATATAAAAAAAAAGGAACTTTACCGGTTTTCTAGTTGTTTCCCTACTATTAATTCTGGTTCCCAGCAATCATCATCACCAGATCCGTGACCAAGCTGATGATTGCTACCCATACCCCAAGAATAACCATTACCTAAAAACGAGAAAGAAAACGTTTTGAATGAATGAAAAGTGAAGTGTTATTTGAAACGCATAGCTCGCTTTAGGCTACAAGTGTTTATCTTTAATAACATTCATAAACAACTGGGTATTTAAAACAATGAAAAGTCATCTTTTAATTCTAAACAAGTACTTCAAATACCCAGTAACTGTCTTAACAGTAATGTGTGAATGTAGGTGATCCCTGTAAATAATATCTAGTTAACTACATGGTAGACTAGGTTGTTGAACAGACTTGTCAGACAGACAGTTGACATCAACAAGGGATCTCCCTACTGCGAAACAGTCATAGTTCCTGCACCTCGCATCACCACATCAAGGCAAAAGATACCAAGATTGCAAATATGGTAGTTGGAAAACAATGCAATCAACAGTCGTTTGAAGTAATATAGTGAAAAACAAGGGAGCAAAACAATAACAACATGCGACTTGACCATTGGGATCAAGATAGTGTGTGAATGTACCTGCGCCACAAATAGTCATATCAATTGATCTAAAACCGCCAATTTCGGTTGTCCTGCACACTCCAACATGTGAGTGCATATTCCACCCAATATGACGAAGAACCAAAGTTACTTTTAAGTATGATTGCCTTCAACCACTTTCCAGCTCAAGCCAATTTAGCCATTAATAATAATAATAATGACCACAATCAATAATAATGATAATAATAATTTAACGCAAGCTTTTAAAGGTGTATGAACAAGGCTATGAGCCATACTAATTTTATGATGGCTTACAACACTATTCGGTAGCCCAGAGCGAAAGTGGTGCAGAATCAAAAATGAGGCTTCAGTTACATACAATCAAATACTGACGGTGTGTTAACTACTACCACCAATAAGATACTGACTGTATTGCTGAGCCTTATAAGGCCTTTCCACGTTCTCACCATGTATAAAATTTGTCAACGTGTGGGACGTCGCAGTTTTTCCTGCGCTAACCTCCAATCACCTAACAATAAACGAAGCATACCATTTCCTTTCCATAACGTTTTACCTTGTAATCATCATACATTACAGTGGTTTAGCAGTTCGCAGAAGCTCAAATGAAGATAGTGAAAGAAGTTGGAAATGTATTTAGCACACATTGTAAGATATCAGCGTGCGACATACAACATCAATTTCTGAGGTAACTCCAAAACAAGTCTAATCTACTTAACCAACTAAACTTGAAGTTCACTATAAGTCCACACATGAAGGAGCTTTTGTTTAAAATTCCTTTGCCGCTTACATGGTAAGGTAGAAAATTAGTTTGTGGGTAAATCGATGTGTGCTATATTTCACAGCAGCTCGAGCTCATTTGTTTACGGGAAGTAAAAATAAAAAATAAAAAAAACGCTCATTTACAGACGAAAAGCAATTCCGTTTTTGAATGAAAACTTAAAACTACCCGTCATATTTTACATGGGACCATGTATCTTGAATCCCATTCGTAACTAGGCTAGTCAATGCAAAATAAATACTTACCATTTTGATCAACAGCAAATGAACACGCTTCTCCGCAACCAACCAACGAGCAAACACAATAACCAAGAGGACCACGAACGCGTGTGGGCTTGCTGACGGAAACTTTTGAGCTGCTTAAATCACACCCCAAACCTAGACGACCGTAATCAGGTCGACCGACAGTATAAACATGACCTAGAAAAACACACAAATCGCACTATAAAGAAACTGAGTCAACTATGCACCGCAGTGAATAAGTTCCAAAATCGGTCAGAATGACATCTATTTACATCAAATGTTCACATTTTTCCTTCTTGTACCCTTAAGTTAATGAACACCAAAAATAGTGCCGAATGGTCTCAGGACACATAGGCTATTTTTACCCGCAGCTTAATTCGCCGATTCACTCACCATCTGAAACGACCAGGGACACTTTTATAAGCTCCTGTCTGAAAGAGGTCGTGCTATGACACAGTCATTATTATCTCCGCCATGGGTTACTAGCGGAACATAAGGCTTCAGTAGCACGTCTTCATTGCACTCTGTTCTCTGCAGTCTTTTCGACCTGGCTCCACCACTCGCCACAAGCTCTCCTTTCTTCCTCACACCATCTCCATGTCACCCTCGCCTCGGACGCCCAACTCGTCGTTTCCCATTTCGGTTTCACTCGAGTGCCTGGCCTGACGCGTGATGTCCCCAAATGGTCTTCTCAGTGAATGTCCAATCCAATCCATCTCCACTTCCTTTTGCATATTTGTTGGGCGATGGGTTCTCCGTTGGTTTGTTGGCCCGCCAGAGTTCCTTGTTGCTTTTTAATTCTGGCCATCTGATCTTCAGTATCGAGTGAGCGTAGACGGCACCTGTTGATGAATGTCTGTAGTTTGTTGGAAATGCTTTTCGTATCGCGCCAAGTCTCAACCTTCACATAGTAGCACTGACTTGACATTGGTGTTGAAAATCCGGATCTTGTTGATGCTTTATGCTGAGTGCAGTGCAGTAGATCTCCTCACTGATTTCAGAATAATGAAAGCCTGTCTTGCTTTTCTTATCCTGGTTTTGACGTCTTCATTTGCGCCACCTGTAGTTGAAACGTTGCTGCCTGGGCAGGTAGGTGAAAGAGACTACTTCCTTTAGGTTTCTCCCGTTGATGGTGATTGATGCTTGTTGTTGATACTGTTGTTGGCTGGGTGTCTTCATCACCTCTATCCTTCTCTACATTCACTTGAAGTATCACCGCTGCCCCGCCTCTTCTGCCAACGTGTTAGTTTTCGCCTGTAGATCTTTGAGTTTGTGCGACAAGACATTAGACATAAATCATCGTTGGCGAAATCCAAATCTTCTTTTGGGGTCTTTTCGTCGATCCAGCCAGCGTATGCCCCTCTTCTCGCTCCCCACAGTTTGTTGCATGATCCGGTTCAGCAAACCACAATCAGGATAATTTTCGGTGATAGTAGGCGGCAACATTGTCTGACTTCCGTCTTCACTTCAAAGGCGTTACTGAGCTTTCCATTGTGAATCACTTCGCATGTAGCATCATATGGCATATAGCTGTTGAATGAGGTTGATAAAGGCTTGTGGTACTAAAACCGTAGTGTTGAAGCAGCTGCCTGCCAAATTGCTTCTCGGTCGACACTGTCGAAGGTTTTTTCAAAATCGATGTAGTTGAGGTAAGGTGCTCTGTTCTGTGACGATGCATAGCGTTGCAATTTGATCCGCACATGATTTGTACTTCCTGAATCCAGTCTGTTTCGGTGGTAATTTTGAATCCAGCGCATCTTTTAGTCGTTCAGGTTTGTTGCGTGGGCAGAGTTCCTTGTTGCTTATTATTCTGGCCATGTGATCTTCAGTATCGAGTGAGCGAAGACGGCACCTGTTGATGAATGTCTATAGTTTGTTGGAAATGCCTTTCGTAACGCGTCACGACAACAGTACTGATATTTCTATGCATTGTAATGACAGACAATGGGGAAATTGAATGAGATCAAAGTAGTAAGTTGATCAGAACTACATGTAGCAAACTATGTGTTAGGGATGCCTATATCTCTCATATTTCATACTTACAGTTTGTATATATTTGAACTGGTTTGTTTCGCGCTCTTTTCCCGTGCATGGGTTTTATTTCGTATGATCCGCTATTGTTCTGATTGGCTCATGCCTTGTCTATTAAGGTTACTGTAAACTCTAAAAATGGAGTTCATTTTCACTAATAAACGTTTTCAGTCCGAGACACTTTAAACTCATTGGATTTCAAGTCTTTTAACTTCTCTGTGTGAATCACTCGGGTTTAATTTTCTCAACCCTCGACTATCATTTGTTAAGTATTTTTGTTCGTTCTCACAACTCCGTATTGTTACACTGAATGCACTTGCGAAACTGAGATTAGTTTTGCAGTCGAAATACTTAATTTAATAGCTAAAGAATATGATACAAACGGAGTGAATGTAATTCACTTCTAGACTGTTTTCTACATTATCATTCTTCCACTTGAAAATACTAGGTGAATGTATGTGGCTGGATTCGGGGTTCACGGAAACCCTTCCAGCTTGAAAGTGTTGCTAACTTCGATGTAATAAATTACAGATCATAACTATGTCACTCTTTTATAATTGATAGTTAGAATATATTACGGGTCGATACATTCTAAATGCCACCAATAACTCTCCTTAATAAGATCGAACACAAATATAGGCAACCATTCAGTTTGGAGGTTTATGGAGATCTGTTGGTTTCAAGGTAGTACTCATCATGGACTAACATCAGTTGAAGAACCAATGAAAACCTGCGAGCTCCAGGTTTCGTCTTAGTAAAGGACTCCTAAGCTATATTCTTACTTCGTAGAAAGCTTCAATAGGCCATACGAGTAGGAATAAGTAACTAATGTGAAATATTGTCACAAATGCACAATATATAATACCCGAGACAAACTGTTTGCACATGAAAGCTGTTGAATCATAAAAACAACTGAAATATCCAAGGCAACGTACCAAGATTGTTTAAAGCCAGTGTGTGATGCATACCGATTGCAAACTGTTGCCACTTTTGTTCCGGATCGAATCCAAATGCTCGCGTTAACATAAACTGAATAAGAGGACCCTGTCTAGCTATCAGTTGAGCTTCTGATCTATCAGCTTCTTGACTATCATTTACCAACCTTGCAGCATCTTCGGCCATACTCAATTCTATTTCCACAGACTCCTCTGTGAGGTTAGGATTGAGAGACCTTCCATGACCAGTTGTATCCCGCAAAGCCAGCTGACCATAGTTGTTTAAACCACATGCATACACAGCACCAGTCATCTGACAACGAGCAAACGTAGCAAAGCCTCCCGCCCATACATCAGAAAAACGGACAGCTCCACGAACTCGGCACTCAGTAGGTTGGAGTAAAGAACCTAAGAAACAAGCAGAGTAATTAAAACTTATCAAAATAAATAATGTCGAGCGGTTGATTCCAAAAACAATAAGACTGAAGCCCTCTAACAGGACGCAATTCTCCATACAACTTACCTATTTGATACGCATGTGATACAGCATCATTTGCTGTGTGGTGTTTCGAGAGCAAAATATCGCTCATAACATTTTCTGCTCGGAACACCATTCAGTCAATAATACTGCACCATACTGAGATGCATCAAATAAATATATTCAAAATGGAATTACACACTGAAAACCCAGTAAAAAAAAATAAACTTCGAAAGAAAAATGCGTATTAAATGCCATTTTTTCCGCTACTACAAAGAAAATACGAGCTCAAAAAAGCGAAGGCAGACATGTAACCCCATCCTTCAGGGATAATGTTTAATGTTTCGCATATTTCCCAGTTACCTAACTTGAAAGTGTCCGTCGTAGTTACGTCCGATGGTGTTTGTACGAATTTAAAGACCAATGTAATTACTATGACAGTAAAACCGTTTCGCAAGTCTGCGCTGAATCTCTGCATTCTGAACCAAAGGTGTAAAATCTAATTCCGTTTGTCTAAGTTTCGGTGACTGGAAAGATGGAGCACCTCGTTATACATCTCCCTTCGGTTTTTTTTCAGCTCTTTAAAACTCTTTGAAAGAGATGTGCAAGGAAACCTGCATAACAGTGTTAGGAAGGAAGAGGAAACAAGTCAAGACGAGGAATGGATGTCGACAGACACATGGAAGCTGATAGAGCAGGGAGAGGGAGAGGGAGAGGGAGAGGAAGATGGTGAAGCAGAAGATGAAGATGAACCAGTCCAGTGTAAGGATGAACAACGAAAAGAAGAACTCAACACAACCGACAAAGCACTATACTGGACAAAGAAGTGAAAAAGAGTGGGTGGAAAGACAAAAGACACTTCTACGACACACTGGCAAGTGAAACAGAACAGGCTGCAGGTAGGAGAGACAGAGGGCTGACAACACTGTACTAAATAACCAGGTTACTATCTGGGAGATAAGAGATTAACACAGATGAAAACAAATGAAAGACAGTGAAGAAAAGATAGTTAACAAAGAGGAGAAACAAAGGAAACGATGGACCGACCACTTCAAAAACTCTTGAATCAATCACCACCTGCAACTCGTCCAGAAATACCGCCAGCAACGGCAAAACTACAGGTGAACACAGACCCTTCGACAAAAGCAGAAGTCTTGAATGCCATAAAACTGCTGAAATTTGGGAAAGCGACGGAACCAGATGGAATTCCACCAGAAGCAATGAAAACAGACACAGAGACAATAGAGGATATGCTAACACCACCACAGCAGAAGTTGTGGAAGGAAGGAAAGGTACCCTTCCGATTGACTGGAAGAAGGGCCACCTTGTCAAACTCCCGAAGAAGAGCAACCTAAGTGTTTGCGAGAATTGGCACGGAATCATGCTCCTCTCTCTGACCACCCCAAGCAAAATAATTATACCACATCATCCTGGAGAGACTAAAAGATGCGCTGGATTCAAAATTACCACCGAAACAGACTGGATTCAGGAAGTACAAATCATGTGCGGATCAAATTGCAACGCTATGCATCGTCACAGAACAGAGCACCTTACCTCAACTACATCGATTTTGAAAAAACCTTCGACAGTGTCGACCGAGAAGCAATTTGGCAGGCAGCTGCTTCAACACTACGGTTTTAGTACCACAAGCCTTTATCAACCTCATTCAACAGCTATATGCCATATGATGCTACATGCGAAGTGATTCACAATGGAAAGCTCAGTAACGCCTTTGAAGTGAAGACGGAAGTCAGACAATGTTGCCGCCTACTATCACCGAAAATTATCCTGATTGTGGTTTGCTGAACCGGATCATGCAACAAACTGTGGGGAGCGAGAAGAGGGGCATACGCTGGCTGGATCGACGAAAAGACCCCAAAAGAAGATTTGGATTTCGCCAACGATGATTTATGTCTAATGTCTTGTCGCACAAACTCAAAGATCTACAGGCGAAAACTAACACGTTGGCAGAAGAGGCGGGGCAGCGGTGATACTTCAAGTGAATGTAGAGAAGGATAGAGGTGATGAAGACACCCAGCCAACAACAGTATCAACAACAAGCATCAATCACCATCAACGGGAGAAACCTAAAGGAAGTAGTCTCTTTCACCTACCTGCCCAGGCAGCAACGTTTCAACTACAGGTGGCGCAAATGAAGACGTCAAAACCAGGATAAGAAAAGCAAGACAGGCTTTCATTATTCTGAAATCAGTGAGGAGATCTACTGCACTGCACTCAGCATAAAGCATCAACAAGATCCGGATTTTCAACACCAATGTCAAGTCAGTGCTACTATGTGAAGGTTGAGACTTGGCGCGATACGAAAAGCATTTCCAACAAACTACAGACATTCATCAACAGGTGCCGTCTACGCTCACTCGATACTGAAGATCAGATGGCCAGAATTAAAAAGCAACAAGGAACTCTGGCGGGCCAACAAACCAACGGAGAACCCATCGCCCAACAAATATGCAAAAGGAAGTGGAGATGGATTGGATTGGACATTCACTGAGAAGACCATTTGGGGACATCACGCGTCAGGCCAGGCACTCGAGTGAAACCGAAATGGGAAACGACGAGTTGGGCGTCCGAGGCGAGGGTGACATGGAGATGGTGTGAGGAAGAAAGGAGAGCTTGTGGCGAGTGGTGGAGCCAGGTCGAAAAGACTGCAGAGAACAGAGTGCAATGAAGACGTGCTACTGAAGCCTTATGTTCCACTAGGGAACCAAGGGACAAATAGTAAATAAATTCGTTTATATCAGCTAGACAGGAGCTATCGACTGTAACACGTAAGACCGGATCAGAGAAGTAAGATATACTAAGAGGTTTGGTATTGATCATCCAAAATCAAACTCCTAAGAGCGAAAGCGATTCCTTCGTCGTTCAACTGAGAGTGCGGGCAAATCAACTTTAGTGCTAGCCTGTTTATTAAACCAACGTTCGCGGTCACTGACGGCCGTGTAGCTCCAAGAAACACTGGTAATCCTGTCCGACAGAAGCAAATATCGATAAAATCAGATTCAAACTACAGAAAGTGACGGAAATGTGAGTATCTTTTAAGATTACTGACCTTGTTGATGTATTTGTATAGTCACACATTTCAGTTGAATCCCTTGGTATACTGACTGTTCATGAAAGCCACAAGTGTTCACCACCCTTCGATGTTGACGGCAATAGTGGTCATCACAGCTTGTTCGACGAATAAGTTTGTTTTTATTTTTTATATTTTGTTTGTGCTTTGAAGTTTCTTTAGCGGTTAGATTTGTTTTACGGGGTAGGGTTGCTAGCCCTATGCTCAACCTTCCCTCTTTACCTTGCTTAGGACCGGCTACTAACTAGTGAACCAGTTAACCAGGCGAGGTTTCTGTCAACTCACACTTCATCATAATTTTTTACACTGAAGACTACCCACTATTTTGGGACCTTTTTAACACTGAACAGACTAGTTTTTAGACTCCTAACTGAAGTACTGAGTGAGATAAATATCAGTTTTAAAAGTGGTATATAACCCTTCTAGTCTTTAAGTGCCATTTTAATCTCCAAACAGTAAAGATGAATCTAAAATTCCGTATCTAGTTGAAAGCGTTACTTAAAACGTGAATATCAACAAACGCTATCTGACTATTTCATCAATCTTCTAATATTTAGAAAAGTATATGCGCTATGCCAGTCCCTTTTCACTTGAATAGTACATAAGACAAGAGGTAATATTCTAATAATTAATTCTACTTTATTTGTGTATGGTTCTTTTCTTGAGATAATAAATTAATATGACTAATGTGTGATCTTTCAAACTTCTGTTTGTTTAGGCTCACGGTTGAGCACCAGCGCAACAATTTAGGTCTTATAAAAGATAGTTTCACTTACTTCAAATTTTCCCTTTTGAAAGTAGTTTAAAAGTTAACCCAAAGAGTATCTTTCACCACTCAATAGCCTCCTCTGAATAGCGCTCTGGTGTCTAAATCAGTGCACACTGTATATGACTCTCAGTTTAGGACAAAACAATGAGTTGAAAGTATGCTCATCTTACGTGTGTCGAACAGGAAGTAAAGTGCTCTCTGTCTCCTATCCATTTCGAACTCATAAAACCCACCCTCAGTTTCCCAAATCACGTATAGCAAAGCCATTTCAACAACAGAATAGTTTCTTTATCCCCTTTACACACATTTATATTTGCATATTGATGATGATTGAAGACTGTACTCCAGGTAGTCAGCTAAGTTGCGCAACTGTCCAGCCATACTGCTTTCCGAGTCTATTCCGTAAAATTGAAGAGTCTTTCCTCTGCAGTCATTCACTGAGTTCACTGTATGCTGTGAAATTTTTTCTATGTGCACTAAAGTTATAATTACTGTAATTGTTTTGCGCTCAATTTCAATTTTATATTCCTTCACCTGATAGTTCTTTAAATGAGCATTTTGGTTCGAAATTACCGGTCCAAAGAAAAAGAACTGGAAATTATCTCCAACTTGTATGGGATAATCTTCTATAAACACTGAATTGAGTTTTCATTCACAATATTCGTCGCATTTACTGCAGTTTTACCTTATTAAAATACGCAGATCACGATAGCATCAGTAAACTAGGCTTTTGAAAATTTGGACTTTTAAGAGAACTCTAATATTCTCAGCTGAGTGAATACCTTCTATTTGTTGATGAGTGTCAACAAGTATCAAATCCGAATTGAGAGTCTCTTGCTTATTTACTGTAAACAGTGAACACAGAATTCAAGTTATTGGTGAAAGGGTTGGAGTAGACTATATTTTGACTAGAAGTGTTCCGCTTATTGGTGTTCTCGCCCTCAAACGTTGAAAGAAATAGTATATGGGTAATCCACTTCATACATATGAATGTGATCCGTGATCCGAAATTATTCTCTCTTCATTCAAATTTCAGGGTCATTTTACAGAATGTCGAGAGTTACAGGCTC